GTGCATGCCGGTGGGCAGTGATGCTGCTCAATGCTTACTGCACTGTGTGAGGTAGCTGCGACTTTCCTGTACGCCTACCCTCCAGAAGCCACCTGTGTGTACCTGGGTGCCTAGCGCTAGGCCGGTGGGCAGGGCTGGCCCACGGCATGGGGTTCCCACCAGTTTCCTTCAGAGGCCTCTGCGGCTCCTACTGTGCTCGGTCAGGAGTCCACAGATGCCGCGATGGGTGGGTGAATCTCAGTCCTGACGACCCGAGCAGCCAGCAGGTGGCGGCCCAGCCCCGCACCCAGCGTCCTTCAGCAGTGGGTGGCCCTGGTCATCCCCTCCCCGCCTCTAGAGAGGTTGTGTTGGGAGAAGCCGCTCACTTGGTCCCTTTCTTGCCCTTGGACCCAGTCTGGACTTAGAGAGAAGCCACCCCAGCCGCCGCAGCAGCGCAGCCCCTTTGTGCCCTTCCTGCCCCAACAGGGCTTTGTCCCCACTTCTCACTGGGCTCCTGCAGCATAGAAGTCCTTGAGGCCAGAAAGGATGTACCAGCCCCTGACACCACCTAGAGCCAGTGGGCAGTGTCTCGAGCCCCGGGACTTCCCAAAGGTAACAGGAGGACCTGCCAGGACCTCCCATCTTCTGAGGAGACCCAAACGTCCCTAAGCCCCGCCCTGGCCGAAGGGCACTGTTTGCTGGTGCCAGGCACAGCCTCCTTCCTTCCTGTGCTTCGGTCCTGGTTCTCTTGCCTAGGACTCACCTGCAGCCTCACAGGAGCTCAGCCTCACCCTCGCCCCCCGGCTCCTTCCCCTGGTCCCTCCCCCAAAGTGTCCTTTTTCTGAACCCTAACTCATCTGTGATCTGCTCCACCCCAGGCCTCGTCTCCCTCCCAGCACACCTCTTCCTTCACACTGTGCGCCTTCTGTCCCCATCCCATCCTTCCAGGCACATGCCTGCTGGAGATGCCACAAACACCTCAGCCAAGAGCTGCAGGACACAGCTGCTGCACTGGAGACAGTCCTGTCCCCCTCTCCCTCATGTCCCTGGCATCCAAGAGACCACTTTCCTTCTGTCCTGTGCAATCAGGGTGACATGCAATGTGTGCGGGGGGTCTTGAAGCCGCTCGTGCTGGGGTAGCCACACGGGTGGCTTCTGGTCTGGTTTGGCTAGGTGTAGGGTCCTGGCGTTTAGAGTGTCAGGACTGGAAAGGAAAGGGACATTTTTACTATTGCCGTAGACTGGGCCAAAACCCCAGGTTGATTTTCTAATTCCCGTCCTGGAAAACAAAAAAGCATCAGAGGAGGGGTGCCACTCCCTCCCTCAGCACCTGGAGCCCGGCTGCGCAGGGGCATGAGCAGCCCACTCTCGGCCCAGCAGTCTGAACGTGGCTTCTCTCCCAGGGCATCTTGCTTCGCCCCACAGTGACCCGCAGCTGCGCCACCTGCCTTCCCCAGCCCTTTCTGTGGCTCCCTTTCCTCTTTCTCTCTGGAGACAAGCACGAGGGTTGCCTTGGATTTGGACGCCTCTGCCCTGGCCACCCTGGCACCACAGCTGCTGCTGCTGTGGCACGCACCTAAGCGCATCCCTGGCTTCTGCAGCTGCCCACAAGGAGGAGCTTCTAAGCCCCGTCTAGAGCAGGGCAGATGGTGACGCAGGGGGCAGGCAAGTTGCCACCGTGAGTGAGGGCAGCGGTCGGGTGGCCTCGGCACACTCGAGTCCCTTCATGCGCTTGTCCCCCTCCGCTCAGCAGAAAGCCAGGGTGGCCACAGCAGGCCCACGTGCACCACACACGCCAGGGACTGGGCTGGTGGCAGCGCTCTCCTGCTGCTCGAGCTCTCCTGCCGGCTCTCCTGCTGCTCGTGCTGTGCTTTGCTGGCCGGGCCCATCTGCAGAAGCAGCGGAACAGAGGCGTGGACCTGGGAGCAGACCAGCCACCAAGGAGAGGCCACAGCACAACGCTGGGCCCTTCCAGGGTGGCCTCCTGCTGCTCTCCACGTGGGCACCAAGGCAGATGGATGGA